TTGAAATTACAACTTTTTCAGTAGCAATTTATTTCTTAAAATTAATTATTATATTTCGTGCTTGTTTCAATTTATTAATGTTTTATATACTTTACTTCATTTTCGAATGTTTGAAACAATACTATATCTTAATTTGTGCTCGCGCTTCCACACCTTTATTTTAGAAATTAGATTATTTAAAATTGAAGCTTTTTATTTTCTTTTCCGTTTTAGTAAAAGAGATATGCCTTACAATGTTCGCTCGTGTGCGAAATACATTAAGTACCAATTAATTAGGATGAATTTTGTCAGCTTTTCCCTAAAAAATAAATTTAATAGCTAAATGGAAACAGTACTGTAGCATAATATCAATCAAAAAACAAAACTTAGCGTGAAAGCTATGCCAATCTTAAAGTAGAAATTTTGCAGCATTCCATATTTTTTATGTATTATTAATATAAATCTGTTTTATGCATTTTATAGTTTCATAATTTCTTATGTCAGAAAATAATTGAAGATCGACAGTGGCCAAAAGGCAAAATGGGAACTTCTTTGACTTCCTGCTAGCATCACTGTATTCACCAGTAGCACGAATTTGTATAAGCAAACAAACAACTCCATTAAATTCTGATCTTTTTTCACCTTTCAGTATTTTCCCGTCATCAATAGATGGCGCGGGTGAGCTTGTTTGGATACCGAAAAGTTTGTGTCAAAATGGCGGGTATGACAAGTGTGGTGCGACTGCTCGAAAGACATAAGAAAGAATTTAATGATTTAGATGCAACTTTATTACTCCAAAAACTTGAATCAGTTGGAGTAATTAATGCTGATGAAAGAAGACAATTACAGGAAGTAGCTTCATCATCAAAAAGGACAGATGGATTAATTACAATAATTTCAAGCAAAGGATATTCTGCCTTTCAAGATCTGTGTTTATCTTTGGAAAGCGTGTGTCCCCATCTGCTCACGAAGTTTGCCTTAGATATTGCAGGTGAGTTTTTTCTTTCAGCCTTACTAAGTGGAGGTATATTTTGTCAAGAGTACTGTCACTTGCATAAAAAATTACGATATATGATTTTGGAGTGCTGACACGTGTTTAACTGTTTACAATGTTAATTTTTTATTTTTATTTTCTCAGGATGTTTGCCAAAACATGTACGTTAAAACGTGTAGATTTTTTTTTTTAATTGCCAAAAAGTTGTTACATGCTTCAAATTATTTAAATTAAAGAGCAATAGATAATTTATTGTTTATTTCCTCGAATATAAAAGGGGTAAATAAAAAGTTAGCCTCAGTGGAATTTTAACAATTTTCATTCCTTACTCCATTGTTTGCAAATATCTCTCTGCAGATGATTTTTTTAAAAATGAATTTCATAGATAAAAAATCGGAAAGTGTCTAATATAATTTTTCTGAAAACAAAAATTATAAAGCATGTATGTGTTTATAATTTTTTTTAAAATTTAAATGATTTTGGAATTAAAAACATATTTGTAAGTAAATTCTGTGCTGTTATTCAGGATTATTATAATAATTTAATAATTTAATATATATCAGATATTATAATAAATATATTTCAGGATATTATATTCCACTAATGGATTAAGATCATCAACATTATATATATATATATATAATTATTAAGTAATTATATCCTTTTTTTTTTTTTTTTTGCTATTATTAACTTCTAAATCCTGTGTCCAAATATTTTTCCGACCTTCTAAATAAAAAAAAAAAAAAAAAAAAAAAAAAAAAAAATGATAATTTTCATACTATAAATACTTTAATGTTAAATCTAAGAATTACCATGGTTCACATGGTGGCGAATAACGCTGCATGAGCGGCGTTTTGTGATCTTTATATCTGGTATACTGTTAATACGAGTCAATATTCTTTAGAGAAACCTCCGTGAAGGCATACTTCCCCTTAAGCGAATAGCCCTGATTTGCTTTATCATGTTTGATTAAAAGCGAGACTTTGAAGGGGGAAAAAAACTGTGTCATTCTTTAACTAACCAAAAACGTACAAACTTCTTTTTTTTTTTTTTTTTTTCTGGAGAGTTGACTTTTATGGCGGATTTACTGTAAATAATTGGTTGGCTGCCTCGTATTTAGAGTCTATTAGAAAAAGTATTAAAAACGCCATTTCCTTAGAAAGTTTTCTACGAAGGCATCTTTTCTCCTAGGCAGATAACCATGTGTGTGCTTTGTCGTATTAGAATAAATAAACAAACAAAATCCTTAGAATTCTACGCTGATAAGGGTTATTTGTTCTTGCTTTTTTCTTTAATATTTATTATTAGTTTATAGATTTTATTGCGGAAAACCAGATTCTGATTTTAGTGCGCCAAAAGCAGAAACTTGAGCTAAAACTTTTTTTCTTGGAGGTCTTAACGGTGCCCCGTCGAAAAAGGTGTCAACACTTTTATCTAAGTCGAAGAAATATCTTTGAAAGGATACTCCGGCATAAAGCTGCTCAATCCATATGAAAAATTAGTTTCCAACTTAAGGGGAATTGTACAGACGCCTTGATGAAGGCACCGCTATTCAAATATGATATTTTAAAATTTGTTATTCTGATTAGCAAAGGAATGGAAATTCAACTAGTGTAGCGGTGTCTTGTTGTAAAGATACCCAGGCCTTAATGAATCTTGCTTTTTGCAAGTCAGAAACTGATCTTCAAAAGGGTGTAGGCACTTTTATGCTAGAGCACCATTATAAAGATTTCTGTCATTTCGACCATGGCTGACCTGCTTAAAGGGACTAGCACCGTTAAGAATTTACCGTACCTTGATTTCCTTTCTCATGTAAAGGTTAAGATTTCTAAATAACGATTAGGGTCACAAAATGTAGAAACTGTTCATGAAGAGTTCATCTGTGAAAAATAATTTAATATGCCCGATTTTGTTCATCGCGTTCGATTTAAATTTATACAGACCTCAAAAAAGCCATTGAGTCTTAAAAAGTTGTACAGGTAATTATTCCAAATTTCATCTATCATAAAATTTGTCCGTAAAAAATAATTAAATAGCGTTTTAAAGAAACCCCTATCCTTTTACTGTTATTACTTTTTTAATGTATTCAGAGCACGAGATTGTCTCGAGGCACCATAAACGATGACGTACCGGTTTCTACTGTCGTTTTGTGTCTAAACGTTTTTTCTTTTATTCTTCATCTTTCTTGGGTTCTTGAACTTCTCTTTTATCCTTGTTCGCATTATCGTTTACGTTTTCCATTTGCTTGTTTGCCTTCATTCTATATTATAGTCTTTTCTCCATCCAAGTTTGTGTTTCTTTGATAACATGACATGGAAGTAAGAAAGTTTTCTAACTTCCTACCTCCATGTAACATGAGGAGGGGAAACATTACGTATAGAATAGACTCCTTCCTCTTTTTTTTTTTCTTCTTTGTTTTGTAAGTGTGTATATATTTCTATGTATATAATTATAGAAGGTAATAAAGTAAATTTAGTGTAGATTTTATTTGTATTTCGTATTTCAGATCGTCGAATGATTTGCGACTAAATACAAATTAAAGTTAAAATTTTTTAATTCTTATAAAAGGAAATTCTAATAACAAAAGACATTCTTCTGCTGAAATAAATAATAATAATTTAGTTGCTTCTTTTTCCTCTTCGTGATCAATTACAAAATTGCACGTATTTTAGTGAAATTCAATTTTGGTGTTGTTTTTTTCTCTTGTCAATAAAATATGCAATTCCATTCTTAAAGACCGTATACTGGACATGGAATTCTTTGGAAATTTAAAGCATTCTTTGCCACTGCAGCTTGAGATACACATGTAAATCAAATGAGCTTTAAAATTTCGTATCGAAGAGCATGAGTTTTATGTTCGAAAAAAAGGAAACAAATAAATCGGTTGTCGTCCATTATTTGTTGTGCTGCAAACAGCGAATTACGTTCCGCTTCTGCCAAAATCGTCCAAAAAAGTTCTTCATTTGGTGAATTAAATTTCATTGAAGCTTTCCATATGCATAACAAGCTCTGTGTATGCCACTCTCTCAATTTTTAAACCGATCATATATTTTTTCATTTTCATTTCTAGATAAAGCCACGTGTTTCGTTTCTTTTTCTCTTTATTTATTTATTTATTTTACACAACACCCTGAATGACGAAGAAGGCTTCATTATTAAGGGCGTCATGTTTAGCTATTAGTAAGTTCCTACAAACTCGTCAATCTTTCTGTTTCTTATACTAACCTTTTCATTTAGTTGCAGCTAAAGAAATAATATACTACATCAATCAACGTACTTTTTGTTGCACTCATTGTGTAAAGAGTACAAAATAATTATAGATTTGAATTAAATGTTTAGAACTTTGTTCCGATGTATTAAAAAAATTGCTCCAAAATAGGCGGAAGAAAATTACGGTTATTTAATCTGGGGTTTCTGAGACATTTTTATGGCATATTTTTAATGAAACTTTTCGCAATTCTTTCAATTTATAAAAACATAATTTTTTTGAAAAATGCAAGATTCATAATGAGTTTTAAAGGGCTTTATTGAAACATAAATATATACATTTTAAGAGTAAATTATATACATGTACAAAAATTAAATTCTTTGAATTGTAATAGTCATGAAAATTGGGAATATTGAGACATTTATAATGCATAAGCATCGCATTAAATGACATAATATGCGTACAGATGTTACGATAAAATTCATTTCCCCCTAGCGAATACTTTTTATAACACGAAGCTATTAGTAAAAAAGCGAAGTTTCCACAAGAATTCATAATTTTGGTATCTTACAAGTGCCGGACAGCAAAACCGCTGAATCCTGGTAATTTAACCCGGATTCGAGTACACGCGAACGGATTGGGTGTTTTCGGAGCATTTCACTTGTATGACATGAATACGAGCTAGCTACCCTTAGAAAGTTTCATCCATCTGCGGCCGCGCATATAAGGACGTTAAATACTGGTAGTTTAACCCAAGTTTAAATTCCGATAGATAGGCAGGCTGCATGGGCGTTTTCATCGTTTTCTCCATGCATGGTGTGACGATAAGCCAGTTTCTATTAGAATGCCTTCCATGAAGACATCCTGGTGAGATTGTTTTGTGTTGCTGCAAACACTTGGAAAATTCTCCATGAAGACATCACTTTCCTCAAGTATTCAGTTAAGCGTACCAAGTCAAACAAGTAGCTCTCTAGTTGCAACTGGGAATGAGTAGTATAATAAATGAATTGCTGAATGAAAATAATATTGTCTGTTTACTGAAAATTTCTACCGAAACCAGTTGTCATGTCACTGGTATCCGAACCAAATGAAATACTGCTTCACAGCAAAGTGCACTATGTCAAATAAGGAATTCTTGATCCGAAAACCACAGAACACAAGCAGTAAAATTTATGTATTAATTGTCCCATTATGATAGCATTTCAAAGTGTATAAATCTGCTATTAATGTCTCTTACAATACACATACTTTTTATGCATTTTTCGCATTCCAAAAAAAGCCCATCGTATATTTTACTAGACATTCCGTTAAGGATATTACTGATTTCTTGTTGTTACTAGTAAATGACTACCTTATCATTTTTGCTAGTGGGTTCTCATAGCGAATTTCAGATTTTGTAGTACCATCAACTATTTTAATTTGCTCAATAAGATCATCTAGTACAAACTTACAGACATTTGGAAGCTTTCTAGTAAAATGAAAGTGCCATGGTTGGCTAACTGATAATGGACGCCTTCATAGCAATGCTCTGGTATGGAGGTGTCGCATCTTTATGTAAGTAGACCGCTATTCGAAAAGACAAAAATGTTCATAGCGGTGCCGCTGCGTAAAGAAACGCGCACAAACTTAGTTTGAGACGATCAGTTTCAGAAACTGATCGTCGGCATTCTTATGCCAATTCGATGTTTCTCATAAAGATTAGCTCTCCCTTATGGAAGTCCGATTATCATTTCAGTTACTGATTATTTAATTAAGCAGGAAAGGAACTAAATCTTTGCCACTTTTATAA